TGAACACAGCTGAGTGGTATTAACGGAAGAGCTGGAATGCAGCCAGGAGGCCTTCTTCCTGAGAGCTGCCCATCAGTCTGGGAGAGGCTCCCTTGTGGAAATGGTTGGGCCTTTCCAGACCTACTGAATCAAAATCTCTGGAGCACCGAGATGTTCAAAAAACCACAGAAGCTATTCTGTCGCTCTGTGGTTAGGAGCCCCTCATCCCCAGAAGCCCCCGCCATGGCACATTTCACTTTCTTGGATTTCAGTGAGTGACTTTATCTTCATAATTGCCCTGTATGCATCCTGATAGTTAATCCCTGTTGACTAGCTAAATTTGTCTCCATTCTTTCCAACCAAAAAACTTCTCACTGAAACACTCACTAAATTCTCCCTAATTCTCACTAAAAAAGGAGAACTATAGAAACAAATATTTTTATTTAAAGGAACCTTTTTCTTGAGGCTGTAGAGATAAACAAAAACCACAGGAAAGGGGTTGTCCTATGGAATAATCTTCTGGAAAAACATGGTCATTTTTGATATCTCATCATAAAAGTCTTCTGAGGAGCAAGTTTTCTTTGAAGAGTTATTTATATCTTTCATTAAGAAAGAGGACACTTCAAGACTATTTGACTATTAATACATGGAAGGTGCATGCCTGTCCCTTGACTTTTTCTAGATATATGAGGCTATAAATTAATGAGTCTAATACCACATACCACACAGAAAAGTAGGCTTGTTCCTTTACCATCACATATGTTTGTATTTTGTCTGTCAGTCCATAGGCTCTTCTCTTCTTATTGTCTGGAGCTATAGGAAGCAGCTCAGACACCAGGGAAATCTGGGATGTTGGTGTTCGATTATGACAAATTCCTCAAGTCAACAGTTCTGTGACTTATTTTTAAGCCATGTCTCCAGGACACAGGGGTGCTTGGATTTCTTATGATGGGAAATTAAGGAAATTTGAGTTTGTAAAAGTGGTCAGTTTCATCAATTTTTCAATTAACAGTCATTCTCTGTGAGGATGATAAACTATAATTATAGGTTGCCTTGTATAATCGCAATATACAAAACAGCACTGTTAGGGAACTTAGAGATTAAAGTCACTTCATCATTAGTGGTACTTGTCATGTTATTTTATGTAAGTTGTTTTTATGTTTTTGTTTTGGTTTTGGTTTTGGTTTTTTGTTTGTTTGTTTGTTTGTTTTTAAGAGAGAGTGCACAAGCAGAGGGAGGGGCAGAGAGAGAGGGAGAAGCACACTCCCCCTGAACAGGGAGTCTGACGTGGGGCTTGATCCCAGTTCTCCGTGATTATGACTCGAACCAAAAGCAGCCACCCAGGTGCCCCCCCCCTTTTTTTAAACAATTCTTTATAATTCATCATTTTTAAGACATAGAATTGTTTCTTCTATCTTAAGAGTTCAAAAATAATGCCTCAACTTTTTCATCTCAGCTCCTAACGTTCCTTTCCTTCCTTACCTTAAGCTACTTGTCTTTCTCTCCTTTTGTAACCGCTCCACTAGGAAAGCTCTTCTCAATCATTCTGATACTTTAAGACAAACTTCACTTCATCCCAGTTTCCCCTTGGAACAATTTATCATTAATGTACCTGTCTCTTCTATCATCTACCCAAAGCCTCTTCTATATTTAATATATATGGTACAAATCATTTGTTTCTCTTTGAAGACTGGAATCAAATTTTATCCTTTTTTTTTTAAAGATTTTATTTATATATTCATGAGAGACACAAAGAGAGGCAGGGACATAGGCAGAGAGAGAAGCAGGCTCCACGCAGGGAGCCTGATATGGGACTCCATCCCGGGACTCCAGGATCACACCCTGGGCCAAAGGCAGACACTCAACTCCTGAGTCACCCAGGGTCCCAAATTTTATTTATTCTTATTTTACTTTGCTTTAATAATCCCTAATGCCTAGCATAGTGACTTGGAAAAAGTAAATGCTATACATTTTTGTTGCATGAGGAAATATTCATGCACGACTGCTCATAATTTTGAATTCTCACCTACCTATGTAGGTGCCAATGACACTCGTTACTGAAATGATTAACTGGGATTTAGTTTATGGTCAAGAAAGATGATTTTCACTGTGAAACTGGCCCCAAAGAAATCAAATTTATGATTTTGAATTTTTAAGGCCATGATTCAAATAAGAGAGAAGCATCCAAATATGAAGTCATTACAAAGAACTGATCATCTCAAATCTGAAGGAAAATATGTAAAACTACAGCAGGGATGTCAGTAGTAGGTTAAGAATGCTACAGTATCAATTTTCTCAAAATGACAAAACAATCATTCGGAGATCTCTTTTCTGTGAGATTTATCAAATTCTAGATCATTTTGGTTTGAAACTTCGAAACTTCCTTTGATACTCACGAGAAGACACTAAACAAAATGACAGACTGAGTGACTATTCAACTTACTTCTGCAGATTCTTTTTTTTTTTTTTTATAAATTTTTTTTTTATTTTATTTATTTATGATAGAGAGAGAGAGGCGGAGACACAGGCAGAGGGAGAAGCAGGCTCCATGCACCAGGAGCCCGACGTGGGATTCGATCCTGGGTCTCCAGGATCGCGCCCTGGGCCAAAGGCAGGCGCTAAACCGCTGCGCCACCCAGGGATCCCACTTCTGCAGATTCTTTAAAGGAAATCTTTGATGAGATGAAGTCAGCCTCCTCTCCCAAAATGCTGTCGGACAGGAATTTCCCAAATTGCTTTCCTCTAAAGCTTGCTTCACTTTCTAGCCTAGGCTTTTACAAATTCTGTAGATTATAGGTCTTTTGTGTTTTCTAAGCACCTGATAATAAAAATGTCAACTTAATGATAATAATAAAGGCAGAATTACACTTATCTGTACATAGCAAAATTGAGATGAAATAAATCTTGAACCAGAAGTCTCAAGCCTGTCTCTGCCAAGTTCCAGAACCAAATCCTCACGTGCTTACTACACAAGTTCATCATGCCCAAATAAAACTCTAAGATCAGCCCTCCTGCTCCATCCGACTTTTTTTTAAAGATTTTATTTATTTATTCATGAGAGACACACAGAGAGAGGCAGAGACATAGGCAGAGGGAGAAGCAGGCTCCCTAGGGGAGGCCAATGCAGGACTCGATCCCGGGACCTCAGGATCACAATCTGAGCCAAAGGCAGACACTTCACCACTGAGCCACCCAAGTGCCCTGTTCCATCCAATCTGTCTCTGTTCACAGGTTATCCTCAGTTACTGATCCCACAGCTGGTGTGGCTTCTAACCAGACCTCCTCCTTTATCTTTTACTTTCTGCCACACAGTTCTAAGGATTCATCCTTCAAAAGATCTCTTGTATGTATAGTGAACTTATACATGCTCAGTACCCTTTTATTTCCCCCCAGGGAATTACCCCTGTTTATTGAGGTGAGGCTGTGAAGCACAGTACCTACCCTATCCTCACTTGAAAACACACATGTGACCCGGGCCTGTCAATTCACCCTACTTTATTCCTATGGCAAATGCTATTATTGGTCAAAGGGGTAGGTTTTTGCTGCAAGTGCAGCCAGAGTTCCTCTGCTAGGATTCATAATTAGGTATAAGAAATTCTCTTTCTTATACCAACTAGGGTTGCTCATCTAGGAGTATGTGAATTTGCAACCACGTGACTAAATGCACAAAGCCTATTTAAAGTTAGAAAAAGGGGCACCTGGGTGGCTCAGTTGGTTAAGTGTCTGCCTTCAGCTCAGGTCATGCTCTCAGGGCCCTGGGATCACCTGCATCAGGCTCCCTCCTCAGCAGAGAGCCTGCTTCTCCCTCTCCCTTGCTCAAATAAATAAATAAAATCTTTTAAAAAATTAAGTAGAATGAGATTGAACCGAAGAAGGCATCAGTACCAATATGGAAAGTCAGAGGGTTTTGACATTGTTTGAATCCCTAGAGCCAGCCATGCCTACAGTCCATCCCATCCCAGTACTTGGCCTGTTAGTTGATTCTGACTTGCCCATTTCTAGCTAGATAAACTTGGACAAGCTATTTAACTTCTCTGTGCATCTCTTGCCTCATCTATAAAATGGGAGATGATATTAATATCTACCTCACAGGGTTATATGAGAATCAGCATAACAAATGCTCAATAAATGTTAGCAATGACTAGGAAGCGGCAGTGAATACTATTGTTGTTTAATCTACTTTGAATGGTCACAATTGAAAGGACATTGATGAGAGTTTTATCTTCTTTCAAAATGTGCTTGGAGTCCATTCTTCCTCTGCTTTTCCATTATCATCGCCCCCGTGGATTCTTGAGCAATGTTTTAGCTGGCGTCTGACTGCATCTTTGCTCTCTACAATCCGCCCTGGTTATCAGTGCCAGAGCTACCTTTATGGAGCATCATTATCATCATGTAACTTCTCTGCTCCAATTTCTGTTGTTTCCCTAGTTTCCCAGGTTCAACCTTATTTATACAATCTGAATCACCTTTCTCCCAACATTCCACTCAATCTGACATCCAACCTTTCATAAGAGCAAGCCTTGCTTATCATGTGCCCCTGCCTTACCTTGCCTGAGTCATCACCCTTGTCCATCTCTTCTTTTTCCTTGCTGGATAATCAGTTCCAATCATGCAAATTCTAACTCTTCTATGATACTTTTTCCAACTATCATGGTTTTCATGGATTTTATCCTTCTTGAAATTCTGTATCATTTTCAATTCCGTACCATAGGCTGCAACATGCATTTATAGACATTTCTATATTATTTCAGGTGGACCTAACTAATCCAATTAGACAGTGAAATCTTAGGTTTCATTTCTTTTGGCATTGGCACATCCCCTAACTCAGTGGTAAGTACCAAAGCCAATGTTTTCTATAGGGCCCAATCATGACATATCCCTACTTTTAAAATTCTGTAGTTTTAAGGAAATTTTCTTCAGATTATGATAACTTTTATTGCAGTTACTTAATCTTGATGCAAAAACTTCTGAGAGGCACATAAATCTTAAATGAAAAAAATAAGGCAATAAGACACTTGTGAGATAGTTACCTGTTTTTATTACATAAACATTATAATATTGCTTGTGGGAGCTGGTCTTCAGTTTGGCCTCTTTTATGGAATGTCAACTATCTGTAAAGATTGTCTAAGAATTATTTATAAACACTCTTGCACCCTCACCAAAAAAGCCTCCATGCCTACATTTTTCCAGTCAGATTCCTGAGAAAAATAATAGGTTTTGTTTATTTTACAGTGTAATTCATAAGTTCTCTTTCAAGGTATAAAAAGGGACAGACTTTTAAAATAAGAGTCTCCTTTTGTTTACAAAGTTCTATAAAAATACATTAAGTATGCTCATGTTTGTCCTTTGACTTAATATTCCAGTTGACCAGAAACAAAAAATAATAATAAACAAAGGTAAACCACATTAATCTTGCAGCAATATAATGTCCACATCATCATGAACACCTTGCAAAAGCAACTCTCCTGTGTACGTAACAATCTTCCTTCGTTTTGCAGCTTTGAGAGTTCCCACCAATGCTTCAAAGAGGTTGGCACACTTGTCATCTCGGAAGAGGACCCCAAATTTCACGCTTAACTTCCCATCAGCATCTAAGTTGAGAAAATACAATGTTAGTCAAATGCAAAGTCCGTTTCTTGCCCCATATTTGGAAGATTTATCTAATCTTTAAAAAAAATCTAACTATGGGTTAGCCAAGATGACCAACAGTTCACACTCATAAATTCAATGTCATCTCTTGCCAGACCCAAAGACTGACAAAATAAATACAATGTGTTTTATGCCTCCTAGCCTTAGGATCATCTGAGCAAAGACTAGAAGGGAACCAAAACCCATTTACAAAAAGTGAATGTGTTACAATGTTACTACTATATGTCCCCTCTGTCTACATTTTGATTTTTTTAAAGATTTATTTATTTATTTGGGGATCCCTGGGTGGCTCAGCGGTTTAGTGCCTGCCTTTGGCCCAGGGCGCGATCCTGGAGTCCCGGGATCGAGTCCCACGTCGGGCTCCTGGCATGGAGCCTGCTTCTCCCCCTCCTGTCTCTGCCCCTCTCTCTCTCTCTATGTCTATCATAAATAAATAAATAAATCTCTAAAAAAAAAGATTTATTTATTTATTTGAGTAAGAGAGAGAGGGGATGTGTGCACATACAGTGCACATGTATGAGTGCAGGGAGAGGGAAAAGGAGAGAGAGAATCCTTGAGCCGACTCCCCAGTAGCAGGAAGCCTGAGACAGGGCACCATCCCAGGACCCTGAGACCATGACCTGAGCTGAAACCCACAGTCAGACTCTTAATCAACTGAACCACCCGGGCACCCCTACATTTTGATTTTTTCATTGTCATGTTGTTGAATCAATACAAAATAACAAATAGAAGAGAAAGTTTGGGTCAGGAGCAGTGTTTCTCTAAGTGTGTTCTAAACAGACTCAGAGCCCCAGGCAGGGACTGGTGACCTTAAAAATGAAGAAATCTGTATTTACCAGATCCCTAGATTATCGTTTGGAGACCAGTTTTTACTAGATGTTAAAAATTAAGGTAAACCCTAAAAAGAAATGAACCACGAAGCGACGAAAAGACATGGTGGAACCCTAAATATATTTTACTTTACTAAGACAAAGAAGGCCATCTAGAAAGGGCTATGTGCCATATGATTCCAACTATAGGACGTTATACCACCAACAGTGAACCATAGAGTAAAACTATGAATGGTGCCTGATGATGTGTCCACGTAGATGATCAATTGTAACTGTGCAATTCTGCTGGGGGGGGGGGTTAGTAATGAGGGAGGCTATGCATGTGTGGGGATAGCAAGTATACAGGAAATCTTTGTACTTTTCTCCCAATTTTACTGTATTCTAAAACTGCTCTAAAAAATTAAGTCTTTTTTTTTTTAAAAAAATAAGGTAAGTGAAAGGTGGACCTTTGATTAAAAATCAATCAACTGGAAACTTGGAGGTAAGAGTAATATGAAACACCCCCCCCCCCCATTGCTGGTTGATTCCTTTGATCTCCCTGGCTAAACTTCTGACTCCCTTCCTTCAGCACTGCCCCACTAGCCGTGCCTGCTGTCAAGAACACCGTCATCACAGTGAGGGAGACTAGTCCTTTGGCCAAGGGTTCTTGAGTTCCCGTGCTCCAGTGCTAGAATTTCTAACCTGACGCTTAGCACATTCCTACTGTAAATGCAGCATGGTGGTGGCCACTGGAGGCAAGAGAAGGAAATACACAATCACGTTCTAGCACTTTCTAGCTTTCAAAGAAACGGCTTCAGTTCCCACAAGGAAATAAGTCATATACACATAATAAGTAAAGCAACAGTACAAAGCAGTGTGTGACTGGATGTCCAGCATGTAGCCAAGTATATCCTACAATTTGGTGAAGGGCAAGATGCCTCGAATGGGCTAGAATGGGAAAGGAAGACTTCCTGAAGGAGGCAACCCCAGTGCTGGCTTTTAGGGAGGGTGTAACATGGAGCTTTTTTTTTTTTTTTTTAGACTTATTTATTTTTATTTGAGAGACAGAGAGTGAGGGGAGGGGCAGAGGGAGCGAATCTCAAGAAGACTCCCCCGGAGTGCGAAGCCCGACTCTGGGCTGCATCCTACTACCCATGAGATCATGACCTGAGCTGAACCAGAGTCGGATGTCAAGTGACTGAGTCACCCTGGTACCCCCAGGTTTCACTTTTTAAAGGTGCCAAAGGCAGAAATCTTGGAGTTCTGCCCACTGATTCCTCACTCTCACAAGTGATTCTACTTCCTTTGTATCTTCTGTTGCTCTCCCCTCTTCTCCATGCACAATCAATGTTTTGGTTCAGGCTGGAATTGATCCTCATGCAGATCACTGCATGACTCCTCACCAGCCTCCCTTTCGGCATTTTGTCCCTGGTATGTCCTCCATATTGGTGCAAAATAAAATCCGTGACAGAAACTTTAAAGATACAAATCTGATTGATAATCTTTTTATTTTTAAAAAATTTTATTTATTAATTCATGAGAGACACAGAGAAGCAGAGACACAGGCAGAGGGAGAAGCAGGCTCCATGCAGGAACCCAATGCAGGGCTCGATCCCGGGACCACAGGATCATGCCCTGGGCCAAAGGCAGACACTTAACCACTGAGCCACCCAGGTGTTCTGAATATATATATATATATATATATATATATATATATATATATATATTATAAATATTTTTTAGGTAAACTCTACCTCCAAGGTGGGGTTTGAACCCATGACTCTGAGATCAAGAGTCACATGCTCCATGGACTAAGCCAGCCAGGCACCCCTGACTGATTGATTCTCTTCTACTTTAATCTTTCAGTGGCTCCCTACCACCTTCTAATAGGGATGCCCATGGCGTCAGAGATAAGACCCTTCATCCTCTGGCCTTTGCACTCCTCTCTCACCTAGTCTCCTGCCATATTGTTATATGTACCTTTTGATCCAGTCAATAATCAATGACTTGTTCTTACCTAAAGTAAAATGAGAGATCCTGCCCTGGCAGTTTTGCCCATGTTTAGCCATTTGCCCAGCATCCCAGATCCCTTTTTCTAGTTAATTCTTTTTCTTCAAGAATGGGCTCAAATGGCACGTTTTCTGAGAAGTCCTCTGTGATTCCCTCAGTTGAGTTGATCACTTCTTATAAAATTAGGTATATATCAAAGTACTCACCATCAATTTAGTAATAATAGTTAATATTTGTTGACTATTTGCTATGCTCCTAGAAATGTTCAATGCATTTTGTAGTAATTAAAACTCCCTTAATCCCTATTTCATGGAAGGTCAGGCACAATTCATTGCAAGAACCACCATTATTTTATATTCCAATTAAACTGCCAATTTAACTATAGCATAACATGTATGGTAAGATGCATTCTTGGGGCACCTGGGTGGCTCAGTGGTTGAGCGTCTGCCTTTGGCTCAGGTCGTGATCCTGGGGTTCTGGGATTTAGTCCAACAACAGGCTCCCTTCAGGGAGTCTGCTTCTCCCTCTGCCTATGTCTCTGCCTTTCTCTGTGTGTCTCATGAATAAATAAGTAAAATCTTAAAAAAAAAATGCATTCTTATTTTAGAGATTTTAAAGTTTAGGGAAAAATGTCTTTGAATCATTGAAATAGAATATTATTTCTAAATAAGGAAACCAAGGCATAAAAATGTTTAGTAATGTGTCCAGGGTCACACAGTAAGTTGTAGGGTAGCTGGGATTCACTCTTAAGAGAGTCTGACTCCAGAGCATATGCAAATAACCACTTCCCGATCCACACCTCCAGTCCATTTGTCTGTCTTCCTGCTACCTAAAAAGGGCCACAGGGGCTGAGATGGAATTTTGTTTATTTTCACATGTCTAGCATTTGAGCACAAAGACGGCACTCAAGAAATATTTGTTGAATGAAAGAATTTAAATCTCCAAATAATCTTTATCCACTTAATTTTTTTCCCACTGGATGAAAAATGAGACTTTAAAGAATTTAATTTTAAAAGAAATAGATAAATATGTTAACTAACGAGACTTTAAGTAAAAATTTGAAGACAAAAATAAAAGAAGTAGGGATCCCTGGGTGGCGCAGCAGTTTGGCGCCTGCCTTTGGCGCGATCCTGGAGACCCGGGATCGAACCCCACGTCAAGCTTCCTATATGGAGCCTGCTTCTCCCTCCGCCTGTGTCTCTGCCTCTCTCTCTCTCTCTCTCTCTCTCTGTGTGTGTGTGTGTGACTATCATGAATAAATAAAATCTTAAAAAATAAATAAATAAAAATAAAAAAATAAAAGAAGTAGATAAAACTAAATTCATTAATACAAACTTCACCTAAAACATCATATTTAGATTAGTCTAAAAAGGATTAGCCTAAATCATAATTTAGTCAAAATTATCCCCGACACAACTTACATAATTAACCATAACCTGTCCATAGATAACATATCTCCATAGACACTTTCCAACTCAGGAAGTAAATTATTTCCAGGAATAGGTAAGTGAAGGAGGCCTGGTGAAGCTGCAAAGTTCAAAATGTTTCATCCCCACAGAAATTATGATAATTACCTTATGGTCTTCTAGTTTGTAAAGCTGCTAATTTTGAAGTGCAGATTCAATTTCCCTTAGTAGAATAATAACTGTTCTAGGGTAAAGGTCAGAAATGTAAATGCAATTGAATCCAACCAATAAACACTAGGCTAACATGGAGACAGATCTGAGAAGAAAATCCCCAAGTTATTTAAAATACATCCTTAATATCTTTAACAATCTAAATAGTACTACTCCCAAGAGCAACAGGACCTCACAGAACTCCAAAGAAATTGGAAAGGTAGAAATGAGGAACTCAGGTAGAGCAATCACTATTGAAAATAAGATTTATGGGGTGCCTGGGTGGCTCAGTTGCTTGGGCATCTGCCTTTGGCTTGGGTCATGATCCTGAGGTCCTGGGATTGAGCCCTGCCTCGGGCTCCCTGCTCAGTGGGGAGTTTACTTCTCCCTCTGCCTCCCCACCCCTGCTTGTGCTTGTGCTCTCTCTCTCTCTCTCTCAAATAAATAAATAAAATCTTAAAAAAAAAAAAAAGAAAAGAAAAGAAAATAAGATTCAGAACAACAGTGGAGAACTAGTACAAGGGACATTTGATATACTAACGGTTCAATGGCATTTTCCAACTATGTCTTATTTCAAGTGATTTGTTATTTAAAAGCAGACAGAGCCCTGAGTCCAGGGCTGAGCTCAGCAGGGAATCTGCTTGAGATTCTCTCCCTCTCCTTCTCCCTCTGCCCCTCCCTCAGCTTTTCCATTCTTTCTCTCTGTCTCTCTCTAAAATAAATAAATCTTTTAAAAAACCCAACTGTGTAAAGGATATGGTTTCTTTTAGTTACATGTACATAAATACAAAATTCAAGAATTTGGAGAAAATAGAGACAATATGGTGTAATTTTAATTCGAGTCCCTAGTCATTTAGAAGTTTGTAAGATGGTGTCAAGATAAAACAAATTAATTTTAATAGTGTGACAAATAAAAATATGAATACGATTCAATCGCCAGATTTCAATCCAGCCAGATTAAAGAAACACAGCAATTTTCTTTGCATCAAATTCACAATATCCCAAAGGCTTTGTCTCCAGAAACCACTTCATGGCTGAGGGCAGAGCTGCTATAACTATGTCCTGAAGTCCTAGGTTACCAAAAAAGTTGGTCCTACCTGCTCTGAGATAAATTCAGAATACTATGACCTTATTATAATACTTACTTTTTGAACCTAGACGATGGATTTCCTCCACTAAAAGGTTAACTTCGTGATCCACATTCATTGCTGCCTGAGAGAGAAAAGAATGCCTATATTATTACCATTTCTATATCCTATTAAGCACATCTTGCCAAATCCAAGGGTCTTTTTTTTTTCCATGTTTCAATTGTCACTGTTAATTTACCATGTTCCGCTTCCTAAAAATACTTGTGTAACCTGCATGACGCCGGAGTACTTCCATTTCTCCTCTATCTTCATCATTGCCCCTTTGTGCTGACCCCACTCTTATTCTACACAGGATATTGGCAAGAATGCAGCACCCACTATAAAACTCTAACCCCATCCTCATGGTGCTCTGCACCAAAACCACAAAGGTGACACAGGACGTGCCCTCAGGGAATTCATGGTCTAGAAGCAGAGAAAGACCTGCAATGAGTAATAGCAATGCGACAGTGTTGTTGTTTTTTTCACTGTATTTTTTAATTGATCAGATGTTTTAGCTTAGTTTCATCCATTATTTTTTTGATTTAATTCATTTACCAACATACAGTATAACACCCAGTGTTCATCTTATCATGTGCCTTCTTCAATGCCCATCACCCAGTTACCCCATTTTCCCCCCACCTCCCTTTGTGTAAGCCATTGTTTACTTCCCAGAGTTAGGAGTCTCTTATGGTTTGTCTTCCTCTCTAATTTTTCCCCACTCGGTTTCCCCTCTTTCCTTTATGATCCTCTGCACTATTTCTTATATTCCACATGAGTGAAACCATATAATTGTCTTTCTCCGACTGACTTATTTCATTCAGCATAATACCCTCCAGTTCCATCCACATTGAAGTAAATGGGAGGTATTTACCCTTTCTGATGGCTGAGTAATATTCCAGTGTGTGTGTGTGTGTGTGTGTGTGTGTGTGTGCGCGTGTGTGTGTGTACAAATCTTCTTTATCCATTCATCTGACAAAGGTGGAAGCCGCGTAAGACTTTGTGGAGGTCACTGAAGAGATGTGGGCCAGGTAGACAGTTGGCAAAGGGAGCCCTATGAGTGGGGAAGAGTGCATGCAAAAGCCCAGAAGCAAAGGAGGAAGCGCATAGCACATTTGAGGCAAGCCCTAAGATAGAAGCTGGAGTTCCCGAGATAAAGGAACACACTTCCAACCCTTCCGGAGCCTGCGGTCTAGTGGGGAAAGCAGATCAATACAGGGCAGCTTTAATACTGTCAGGACAGGGTGATGAGGACTCTGGGTCACCTGCAGGGCGTCGTGGCCTTCCTGGGGCCAGTGGAGAGCTGGTGGTGAGCATCCATCGTCTCAGATAAGGAGGAGTCCAGGACTAAGAGCAGCTGAGAGACCCGCCTCGGTTCACTAGGTGTTCTCCCGCCGGGGGCTTCACACCATCATAGCCTCCTCCCCCCTAACCCCCCGAACCCTGGGCTGCAACTACATGGAGCTTCTTTCTATTCCTCAAATTGTCTGGCTCTCTCACCTCCAACCTTCACACATACTGTGTCTCTACCCGGACTACTGCTATTCCTCTTTCTTGCAGCAAACTCCCACACATCCAGCCCCAGCTTAGAGAAGACTTCCTCCAGGAAGCCTTCCCTGAAGCCCTGGTGGAGGAGCGCTCCCCCACAGCATTGGGCACCCTCTCCATTCCACTTCCCTGGAATTACGTTTCTCGGCTTTTTTTTTTTTTAAGATTTTATTTATTTATTCATGAGAGACACACAGAGAGAGGCAGAGACACAGGCAGAGGGAGAAGCAGGCTCCATGCAGGGAGCCCGAAGTGGGACTCAACCCCGGATCTCCAGGATCACGGCGTGAGCCAAAGACAGACGCTCAACGGTGGAGCCACCCAGGCGTCCCTGGAAAAGACTCTCAATGCAGGAATACGACCAATATCTATCTGGAGACAGAAAAGGGAGGTAAAGAGGCATATAGCAAACACCTTCAAAAAGGGAGAAGAGAGCAGGAAATAGGGAAAGAGGAGATGGATGTGGGGGAGAGAACTCCAACCATCAAGGGTCAAAGAAGTAAGGGCAGTAAAGAGTTTCCTTTTTTTATTATTTTTTAAAGATTTTATTTACTTACTTGAGAGAGAAAGACAGAGATAGCGAGAGAGGGCACGAGCAGGGAGGAGAGGGAGAAGCAGACTCCCCGCTGAGCAGGGAGCCCATCATGGGGCTCCATCCCAGCCCCCACTCCCCCACCCCACCCCTAACCCCGGCCGCGGGATCATGACCTGAGCCAGGGACCCCTGAAAAGTTTCCCTACAAAGGCAGTAACTCACCGAAAGCACAACATGAGAGTCAGAAAGTATGAGCAATTGGCAGAACATGCATCAATTCAGTCTATTTTCAAATCAAATAAGGAACTAAAAAGTAGGGTTGTATGAGTGGTGTGCTTAGGAGTGATAATTTAGAAGAAACCGTCATATCTAGACACATTGTAACTAATTCCTGGTAACTTTTAAAAACAAGGATGATTTAAGTGATAGAGATTGGTGCCCCCGGTTTCTATCAGCTCATAATGAAATGCACCACTACTATCTGCTACGGTATTTGTGTGGATATTATAATTTAACAAGTGTTTATTGCAATAAAATGCAACATCTTGGGTTAATGTGTCTACATAAAATTCAATGCCAAAAATTATAGTGTCCAAATATTGAGAACTTCGTGTTGGTGAAACTATAACATTGTATTCAGTTTGAGATCATTTGAGAGATGCTAAAAAGTTAAAATATAATCAAAAGATACAACAGAAAGATACCTCATGAAAACAATGGTAGAAAAACCCTACAGATGTTAGTGAGGTGGACAGTCGTCACTTTATCTGCTCGGCACCCATTCTGCATTCTGCTCCAGCAGTGTAATTTTTGGTTGGGTCCAGTCTTTTCTTCCTTACTCTAAATCCAAGGATGTCAGTAGATCCTCACTCGAAATTCCAGGAGTGGGTTAGAGCCAGAATAATTGATTTGGGAACCAAGCTCAGTGATCCCATCCTGAACAATTAGATTCAGCCCAGGAATTTTGCCAGAATGATCAGTAAAACACACTCTCCTACTAGGTTTGAAGATATCACTTTAGAGCCCCTAATGTAAACTGTTACCACGTGAAAACAGCCTGTCAGGAAGAAAGTTAGCACTAAGAAAAGTCCAGCCACATTACAATGACTGAGCCTATATGACTGCAGACTTTCCAGTTGCATGAAACAATCTTTCCTCGTTTTGCCTGTGCTGGTTTGATTGAGCTTCTGTCACTTGTACTCTAAAGAATGTTGACCCATAAAGTCAGTCTAGAGAAGACCTGTGACCATTTCTTAAAATTAAAGCTTTTATGGGACGCCTGGGTGGCTCAGCGGTTGAGTGCCTGCCTTCAATTCAGCCCAGGGCGTGATCCTGGAGACCCAGGATCGAGTCCCACATTGTGCTCCCTGCATGGAGCCTGCTTCTCCCTCTGCCTATGTCTCTGCCTGTCTCATGAATAAGTAAATAAAATCTTTAAAATAAAATAAAGCTCCTTTTATGTATTTATGTAATAGTGTTGTTTTGTGCTGCTCTATTGGGTAGGATGGGCGGATGTAATAGACTTGAGAGCCATATAAGAAAAAAATTTCCTTATAATCAAAACTGTTGTCTAACAATGGAGCCCGCAGCTGTTACTGGTAACACTGATGCAGCAGTATGGATGTGCCAGTTAGTGAGGAAATTAGCCTGAGGCAGAAGACAATATGCAAGGGGATTGCAGTCCTCTCCAATTCTCAGATTTTCTGACTTCTCCCACACATGTACCTCTTTAACATTGTCCCCCCACACACACACACACACATACACAATCAGCAGCACACTTCAGACCTAGCTCTCCTTTAGTAACGAGACTTAAAGAGGAAATCCCACTATGTGAATACCTGTATCATATTAAGCAGATGTATGCAGATCCAATTTAAAGAAAGGCAACCGGCATTTCTTTATAATTAATTCCACACGAGACTCCTTATCTATGTTAATTCATGTGATCCTAAGAAACCTTGCAAAGAATGTATTACTTAAACCCATTTTACCTACTCCAGAACTGGCTCAGAGGGACTCCCTACAATTAAATGCTGTTGCTACACCATCATTCTGCTTTTTCTCATCCGCTTCTTCATCTTCTTCCTGGTCATTATGCAAAGTGTGCTAAATATAATAGCGAGTGGTGTTTGTATGGAATATTACATGCTGAGTACATACTAAGGCAGAACACTGACAAAGCCAGAAAAGCTCCCCGCCCAGACCCCTGCAAGTAGGGAAACAACACCTTTAGGAACTCTTGCTAGCACATACAATTTGGTATGATTCATCTCTTTATTATTTAGCGGGGACACAGTGGGGGAGTACTCATTGTTGTTCCACAATCCTTGAGGCCCCCGACATTTGATAAGGACAGAAGGCTGGGCTGGAGTGAGCTGCAAGATCAAGAACAATGGGGAGAGGCCACCATCAGCAGAGCAAGCCCAGTGAAAGAAAGATCCTCAGTGGGAGCTCAAGGGAAGGCGGTGGCAGATGCTAGCCGGGTCCTCCAACTGTCTCAGAATCTAATTAGGCTTTGTGCGTGGGAATCACAAAGAAAGCGGCTTGTCGGAGGGCTGGGCCGCAGGCCGAAAAGCTCCACCCTGGGTATACACTCCAGAATGTACTTAAGGACCTTCTCACAGTTTTAAAGTTTAGAAGCAATACAAGGAGGTTTTCTAAGGCTCGAGGAATGCCGCCTGCTGGAGTGGGGCGCCCGGGAAGCCGCCGCCAGCTGCACGGCCACCCCCTGGGGCCGGCCACCCCCCCCGGCCCGCCACCACCCCCCCCCCGGGGCCCGCCACCCCCCCCCCGGGGCCCGCCACCTTTTCCGGCCAAGCCTCGCAAGCCCTGCCTAGCCGCCGGCGGCCCTCCCGGGTCACCGAGGACTTGGGTTCCTTCCTGGCCGCCCGCGGGCGCGCACACGCTCCATATTTGGTCATCGCTGCTCCAAGCTTGGGAGCTGGCCCGGAAGGGGTCCGAAGCCCCCGTCCCCGCAGGCGGCCCACGGCCACCCCCCGCACCGGCGCAGGGCGGGGCGCGGCGGGCTCCGGGGCAGCCCCGGGGAGGGCCGCGCGTCCGGAAGCCTTTGTCTCCGCCCGCGCCGCCCGTCCGCGCCCGTGCGCCCCGGCGAAAGCCAGCGCCCCTGCCGGGCCACCGAGACGCCCCGGCCCGGGGCTCCCCGAAACCCCCCGGCGCTCACCACCCCGCGATCCGCAGTCCCCGGGGGAGCCTCGCCCCTCGGCCGCAGCCCTTGCCCGCCCGGCGCTGCAGAACGCCCCCCGCGCCCCCTGCACGTGCAAAGCGGACCGGCCGCACCGCGGAGGAAACCTGGCGGCGCTCCGCTTCCCGGGCCCCGGCGGGCGCGATGTCACGTGAGCCGAGGCGGGAGGGGCGGGGGGCGCGCCCTCGGGTCCCCGCGCGGGGTCTCAGCCCAGCGCCAGGTCCGACCGCCACGCGCCTCCGCACCTCCCGATGCCCGCTCCCCGCTCCCCACCGCGGCCCCCGACCGCCGTCCGCGGGCCTCCACCGGACCCCCCCCCCCCCCCGGCCATCCTTGACACCTGCCCGTCACCTTCCCGGAGGCCCGCTCACCTTTCCGCCTCTTGTGACTTTCCGAGGAAAAGCTGGTGCAGCGTCGGTGCGGGCCGGGTCGTCCTCTTCAGCACACCGAGGAGGGGGAAGAGGCTGAGGAAGGAAGTGACTGATGCAGAAGAGAAAGGCTGGTGTGGAGGAGGGGGTGGGAGGTAAGAGTCGAAGCGCTCGGGAAAGGGGCCGCCCACACTCCCAGGGACAAGCCTATGGGGAGGAAACTGCGGAGCAGACGCCTGGGAAGGGGCCGACTCCAGACAGGTGGCAGGGCGCCCGAGGCTTCTAGGAATACGGACTCCAACTGCGATTACCGCCACCTTCCCCTGCGCCTCTCGGGGCCAGTGATCCCCACCCCATCCCCCCCACCCCCACCCCCATCCGATCCTGGGCTTCGATTTCCTGCCAGTATCTCTCTCCTAACGTCAGAAATAAAGAGCCACCAATGTGATGACTGCTGGGATCTAGAAGGAACAGGACTTCGGTTCTGGAGGCCAGCAGCAGGGGTCTCCAGGAAACTACAAGGCAGGAGGATAGTCCGATTTGGGGGGAGGGGGGTGCATTCTTAAAAACCAACCTGTTCTCTTGCAAAGAAATTTTGCTCGGGCAATGCCAGTTCTTGATCCTGAGTGAATATAACTTTCGTCTCTTCTTCATTCAGTATTTCCTACATTTAACTACGTAGCTCAATCGGTCTAGTTATATTCCTTTTATTTTAGTCACCGTTGTTTTATTCAGTTCTTTACTTGCACGCCAAAGAGAGAGAGACGGAAAGATGCATGCTGTACCCAGAATCCCCTTTAAAAGGAAACTGAAATAACCCAAACTATTCCTAAGGCAAAGGTTGCACAAATAACCAAAAAAACTACTCTCCCCATAGCTGATTGGAGTAAGGGTGATCATGTGACCCAAGAGCACACAATCCATAAACTGGCCATCGTCCTAGAAGGTGACTCGGAACAAACAATCCTTACCCAATAGGGACTCTAATAATTGAGTAAGCCAATCAGATTCTCCCTTGGAAATTGGAAGAGCAAAGAATGAGCTGATCTATAGAAAGAGTAAAGCTGAAAGAGGGCTTGAGGCTGGAGCAGAAAAAATGGGCCTCCAGAAAGCAGAACTGTGGAGTAAGCAGAAAACCCTTGGGATGAAGTAGAAGGTGTGTGTGGGCAGAAATGGTAGAAGCAAACTCTAAGAGAAGCTGAGACTCAGTAATGGAATAAGAGCAACAAACACCTGCTCCCCAGGGGGATATGAGTATCCAGGTCTCTAAGGCTTCACTGGATCCATCCACTTTGCAAACTGTATTCTGGTTTCCCTTTCATAGTAAACACCTATCCTTTGGGCACAACTTTGAATGAGTCTCTGTTCACCACCAAAAGATTCTGATTCAGTGTAGGTTTCCCATGTCAGATGAAGTATAAAGTGACTCTGAGATCCTTGGAGGCCTATCTTTTTCTCACTAAAACAAAGCTGAGAAGTTACCTTTTATATCTTTCAAAGTCTACATAATGCAAAATCATAATTCAAGAAATTACCATGTTTAGCAATTCTCTAACCTGGCTAGTTGGCCTGTGGCTGTGATCACGATCCTTGGATAATATCCAGTGAAATGACTAATCAATCCGTAGTGTGCTACGACTATTAAGTAATTAGTGTTTCACTGTACTCTACCAATGGGCAGAAAAAGAAACAGATTACCTAAACAAAGAAAAGTCCCTATTAATATAAAATATATATATATATATATAAATGGATTCAGTCTTTGAAAATACTTTGCTTATATACATATGCTACACTAAGCATAACAACTTCATGTGAATCTATAAAGAATTACAATTCAAGAAAGTTTTTTGATGAAAAATATTAAATTTTTTGCCATTTAATATTTTTTTCTTTTAAAAATTTTTTTTATTGGAGATATTTTTCATACCCAATTTCTACACTTTCAGTTTTTTTTTTAAGATTTTATTTATTTATTCATGAGAGACACACAGAGGCAGAGACAAAGGCAGAGGGAGAAGCAGGCTCCCTGTGGGGAGCCTGATGCAGGACTCCGTCCCAGGACCCAGGGATCATGACCTAAGCTGAAGGCAGATGTTCAGCCACTGAGCCACCCAGACCCTCTTTCAGTTTCTATACAGACTTTTGCCATCTTTTCTTGTTCTCTTAGGAATATTATCATTATGTAGCTAAACAATGTGGAATTTTAACTTACAAGCAAAAAATAAAGTTTATTAAACAGTTAAGAAGTATTTATTAAATATTGAGGATGTGCCAGCAATGGTGTGCCAGGATTGGAGGGTACAAAGCAGCCTACAGTATGATCTCTGTCAAGAAGAATGTTCAGGGGATCCCTGGGTGGCGCAGCGGTTTGGTGCCTGCCTTTGGCCCAGGGCGTGATTCTGAAGACCCCGGATCCAATCCCACGTCGGGCTCCCGGTGCATGGAGCCTGCTTCTCCCTCTGCCTATGTCTCTGCCTCTCTCTCTCTCTCTCTCTCTCTCTTTGTGTGACTATCATAAAATAAATTAAAAAAAATTAAAAAAAAAGAAGAATGTTCAGAAAGGTATATATGAAATATTAAGACAATCTTTATCCATTTATTTAATTGCAAAGTATAGACCAGCACTGTCCAATAAAAATATAATCATGAGCCACGTTATGTAATTTAAAATTTTCTATTAGCCACATTAAAAAATGTGAAATTAATTTTAATAATATGTTCTAACCCAGTATATCCAAAATACTATCATTACCACCTATAAAACTTATCAATGAGATATTATTATACATTCTTTGTTTTGTACTAAGCCTTTGAAATCTATGGTATATTTTAAACTTATAGCATATTTCAGGTGCTCAATAGCCTTATGTGGCTAGTGGCTACTGCATTAGTCAGTGTAGCTACAGACATCTCCAGAATAAAGTATGACATACATTCTAATAATTTTACTTAAGAAATTACATGTTCCTGGAATGAGAAAAATTATAGCATTGTATTTAAAGGTTCATGACAAATTGAGGTATTCATTTTAAAAACATAATTGTCTCCATTATAATGAATAGAAAGTAATATTTGTAAGAAACCTGAGGATAGTAATTCTATCCTGAGTATATACCCAAGAGAAAAGACACATTCATCAAAAGACATGACAGAAATAGTCACATAGTCACAATAGCATTATTAATAATATTTCTAAACTAAAGCTACCCAAATGCCCAGTAATATTTGAATGGTTAAAAATTGTGGCATATTCATAAGACAGAAAGTTATCCACCAAGGAAAAGACACAATAAATAACTACATGCAACAATATAGATGAACCTCACAAACACAGTGCTGAGTGGAATGATCCTGATGACACTTTTTATATGAAGCTTTAAAAACAGGCAAAACCCATCAGAAGTGTTAAAAGTTAGGATAGTGGTTATCTTTGGTGGGTGGTGGGGTGACTAAAATGGGCATGACAGGGGCTCTCTGCGGGTGGTGATTAGCTTCTGCCTCTTGATCTAGTCACTAGTTAAACAGATGTTTTGATTTGAGAATTCACTAAACTGGACACTTAATTTTCTTTTCTTGTGGCTATATTCTTAATAAAACATTAAAAAATATAAAGAATAGAGAATCTTGACCAAACAAGGCCTATTCCGGGAATGTAAGGATTATTCAGCGACATTAGAAAATTTAAAAGTCCCCTGTGGCTAGGGGTCTTTAGGTTTTATCTTATTCTGTAAAGTGAGATTTCTCAGTTGGACCTGTCATTGTAGTTCAAACTATCATCCCCTTGTACTCATGTTAGTGTTAAAGATGATAGTACTATTATGATGATTGCATGTCTTGGCATTAATTTTGGATTCAAATCCAGTACTGTTTGAGTGCTTTGGGGGACACAAAGAAGTAAAAGTAAAATTTTTGCCCTCAAGAAATAATGGAAAAGGATTATATATCATAAGCAAGTAAAATTTATTCCAGGAATGCAAAATTGCTTCAACAAATGGAAAATAGGGATCCCTGGGTGGCGCAGCGGTTTGGCGCCTGCCTTTGGCCCAGGGCGCGATCCTGGAGACCCGGGATCGAGTCCCACGTCGGGCTCCCGGTGCATGGAGCCTGCTTCTCCCTCTGCCTGTGTCTCTCCCTCTCTCTCTCTCACTGTGTGCCTATCATAAATAAATAAAAAATAAAAAAAAATAAAAAAAAAAAAAACAAATGGAAAATAATCAGTGTAATGCAATATATTAATAAAAAAAGGGGAAATCCACATAATTATCTCAGTAGATGAAAAAAAGCATTTGATAAAACACTGTTCTTTTATAGTATTACAGTAAAAGCCTTCAATAAACTAGGGGAAAAAAGGGAATTTCCTCAACCTAATAATAACAAGGGCAACTACAAAAACCCATAGATAGCATCATACTTAATCATGAAAAACTGAAAGCATGTCCCCTAAGATCAGGAATGTGACAAGAAAGTCTGCTAAAGAATTCACAAAAAAACTATTAGAGATAATGAGCCAGTTCAATATATAAAAATCAATTGTATTTCTTTTTTTTTTAAAGACACTTTTCCTTTTTTTTTTTTTAAAGATTTTATTTACTTATTTGAGATGGAGAGAGAGGACACAAGCTAGGAGGAGAGGAAGGAGGAGGGGCAGAGAGAGGAGAAGAGGGGAAAAGCAGACTCCCCACTGAGCAGGGCTCCATTAATGGGCTTGATCCCAGGACCCTGAGATCATGACCTGAGCCAAAGGCAGACAGTAAACCAACTGAGGCACCCAGATGCCCCAATCAGTTGTATTTCTATATACTAGCAATGAATCATCTGAAAATGAAACTAAGAAATAAATTCTGTTTATAATAACACGAAAATAATAAAATACTTAGGAATAAGTCTAAAGAAGTACAACACTTGTACAAAATATTGTTGAAAGAAACAAATTTTTAAATCCAAGTAAATGGAAAATGGAAAAACATCCTGTGTTCATAGAGTGGAAGGCTTAATATTGTGAAGATGATAATATTTCCCCAAATGATCTATAGATTGAAGGCAATCCCTATCAAAATTCTAACTTTTGGGATGCCTGGGTGGTCCCAGTGGCTGGCTGAGTGTCTGCCTGTGGCCCAGAGCATGATCCTGGAGTCCTGGGATGGAGTCCCAGATCAGGCTCCCTGCATGGAGCCTGCTTCTCCCTCTGCCTATGTCTCTGCCTCTCTCTGTGTCTCTCATGAATAAATAAATAAAAATTTTTTAAAGTTCTGTTTTTTGACAGACTTATCCCAAAATTCATACAGAAATGAAAGGGATCCAGAAGAGCCAAAAGAATCTTGAAAACAAAGTTGGAAAAAAATAAAATAAAATAAAATAAAATAAAATAAAATAAAATAAAATAAATAAATAAAAATTAAAAAAAAAGAAAACAAAGTTGGAGAACTCATATACCTTGATTTTATTTTTTTTTAATTTTTATTTATTTATGATAGTCACAGAGAGAGAGAGAGAGGCAGAGACACAGGCAGAGGGAGAAGCAGGCTCCATGCACCGGGAGCCCGACGTGGGACTCGATCCGGGGTCTCCAGGATCACGCCCTGGGCCAAAGGCAGGCGCCAAACCGCTGCGCCACCCAGGGATCCCATATACCTTGATTTTAAAGCTTATTAACAAAGTTATAGTAAGTAATGTAAAACTTACTACGAAGATAGGGTAAGTGGTACCATAGACATATAGAAAATGGGATACAATTTACAGTCCAGTAATAAACTCATTTATTTATGATCAATTGATCTTTTTATAAGGGTGCCAAGACCATTCA